TACTCAACACAGCAATAGTGCACCATCTAGAGACAGATGTAATATTTAATTTACATCACCATGTTACTCAACACGGCAATACTGCACCATCTGGAGACAGATGTAATATTGAATATACACCACCATGTTACTCAACACAGCAATAGTGCACCATCTGAAGACAGATGTAATATTGAATATACATCACCATGTTACTCAACACAGCAATAGTGCACCATCTGGAGACAGATGTAATAGTGAATATACACCACCATGTTACTCAACACAGCAATAGTGCACCATCTAGAGACAGATGTAATATTTGAATATACATCACCATGTTACTCAACACAGCAATAGTGCACCATCTGGAGACAGATGTAATATTGAATATACACCACCATGTTACTCAACACAGCAATAGGTGCACCATCTAGAGACAGATGTAATAGTGAATATACACCCCCATGTTACTCAACAAAGCAATAGTGCACCATCTGGAGACAGATGTAATAGTGAATATACACCACCATGTTACTCAACCCAGCAATAGTGCACCATCTGGAGACAGATGTTATAGTGAATATACACAACCATGTTACTCAACACGGCAATAGTGCACCATCTGGAGACAGATGTAATATTGAATATACACCACCATGTTACTCAACAAAGCAATAGTGCACCATCTGGAGACAGATGTAATAGTGAATATACACCCCCATGTTACTCAACACAGCAATAGTGCACCATCTAGAGACAGATGTAATATTGAATATACACCCCCATGTTACTCAACAAAGCAATAGTGCACCATCTGGAGACAGATGTAATAGTGAATATACACCCCCATGTTACTCAACACAGCAATAGTGCACCATCTAGAGACAGATGTAATATTTAATTTACATCACCATGTTACTCAACACGGCAATACTGCACCATCTGGAGACAGATGAAATATTGAATATACACCACCATGTTACTCAACACAGCAATAGTGCACCATCTGAAGACAGATGTAATATTTAATTAACATCACCATGTTACTCAACACAGCAATAGTGCACCATCTGGGGACAGATGTAATAGTGAATATACACCACCATGTTACTCAACACAGCAATAGTGCACCATCTAGAGACAGATGTAATATTTAATTTACATCACCATGTTACTCAACACAGCAATAGTGCACCATCTGGAGACAGATGTAATATTGAATATACACCACCATGTTACTCAACACAGCAATAGTGCACCATCTAGAGACAGATGTAATAGTGAATATACACCCCCATGTTACTCAACAAAGCAATAGTGCACCATCTGGAGACAGATGTAATAGTGAATATACACCACCATGTTACTCAACCCAGCAATAGTGCACCATCTGGAGACAGATGTTATAGTGAATATACACAATCATGTTACTCAACACGGCAATAGTGCACCATCTGGAGACAGATGTAATATTGAATATACACCACCATGTTACTCAACACAGCAATAGTGCACCATCTGGAGACAGATGTAATATTGAATATACACCACCATGTTACTCAACACAGCAATAGTGCACCATCTAGAGACAGATGTAATATTGAATATACACCACCATGTTACTCAACAAAGCAATAGTGCACCATCTGGAGACAGATGTAATAGTGAATATACACCCCATGTTACTCAACAAAGCAATAGTGCACCATCTAGAGACAGATGTAATAGTGAATATACATCACCATGTTACTCAACACAGCAATAGTGCACCATCTGGAGACAGATGTTATAGTGAATATACACAATCATGTTTAACACAGCAAAACATCACAGAGGTAATAATGAATTACATGTCACTCAACACAGCAATAGTGCACCATCTGGAGACAGATGTAATATTGAATATACACCACCATGTTACTCAACACAGCAATAGTGCACCATCTGGAGATATATGTAATATTGAATATACACCACCATGTTACTCAACACAGCAATAGTGCACCATCTAGAGACAGATTTAATATTGAATATACACCACCATGTTACTCAACACGGCAATAGTGCACCATCTGCAGACAGATGAAATATTGAATATACATCACCATGTTACTCAACACAGCAATAGTGCACCATCTAGAGACAGATGTAATATTGAATATACACCCCCATGTTACTCAACAAAGCAATAGTGCACCATCTGGAGACAGATGTAATAGTGAATATACACCCCCATGTTACTCAACACAGCAATAGTGCACCATCTAGAGACAGATGTAATATTTAATTTACATCACCATGTTACTCAACACGGCAATACTGCACCATCTGGAGACAGATGAAATATTGAATATACACCACCATGTTACTCAACACAGCAATAGTGCACCATCTGAAGACAGATGTAATATTTAATTAACATCACCATGTTACTCAACACAGCAATAGTGCACCATCTGGGGACAGATGTAATAGTGAATATACACCACCATGTTACTCAACACAGCAATAGTGCACCATCTAGAGACAGATGTAATATTTAATTTACATCACCATGTTACTCAACACAGCAATAGTGCACCATCTGGAGACAGATGTAATATTGAATATACACCACCATGTTACTCAACACAGCAATAGTGCACCATCTAGAGACAGATGTAATAGTGAATATACACCCCCATGTTACTCAACAAAGCAATAGTGCACCATCTGGAGACAGATGTAATAGTGAATATACACCACCATGTTACTCAACCCAGCAATAGTGCACCATATCGAGACAGATGTTATAGTGAATATACACAATCATGTTACTCAACACGGCAATAGTGCACCATCTGGAGACAGATGTAATATTGAATATACACCACCATGTTACTCAACAAAGCAATAGTGCACCATCTGGAGACAGATGTAATAGTGAATATACACCCCCATGTTACTCAACACAGCAATAGTGCACCATCTAGAGACAGATGTAATATTGAATATACACCCCCATGTTACTCAACAAAGCAATAGTGCACCATCTGGAGACAGATGTAATAGTGAATATACACCCCCATGTTACTCAACACAGCAATAGTGCACCATCTAGAGACAGATGTAATATTTAATTTACATCACCATGTTACTCAACACAGCAATAGTGCACCATCTGGAGACAGATGTTATAGTGAATATACACAATCATGTTTCTCAACACAGCAAAAGTGCACCATCTGGAGACAGAGGTAATAATGAATATACACCCCCATGTTACTCAACACAGCAATAGTGCACCATCTGGAGACAGATGTAATATTTAATTTACATCACCATGTTACTCAACACAGCAATAGTGCACCATCTGGAGACAGATGTAATAGTGAATATACACCACCATGTTACTCAACACAGCAATAGTGCACCATCTAGAGACAGATTTAATATTGAATATACACCACCATGTTACTCAACACGGCAATAGTGCACCATCTGCAGACAGATGAAATATTGAATATACATCACCATGTTACTCAACACAGCAATAGTGCACCATCTGGAGACAGATGTAATATTGAATATACACAATCATGTTACTCAACACGGCAATAGTGCACCATCTGGAGACAGATGTAATATTGAATATACATCACCATGTTACTCAACACAGCAATAGTGCACCATCTAGAGACAGATGTAATATTGAATATACACCACCATGTTACTCAACACAGCAATAGTGCACCATCTGGAGACAGATGTAATAGTGAATATACACCACCATGTTACTCAACACGGCAATGGTCCACCATCTGGAGACAGATTTTATATTGAATATACACCACCATGTTACTCAACACAGCAATAGGGCACCATCTGGAGAGAGATTTAAGGATAAATATACACGATACACGAGTGGTGGATAACGAGCAGTTTCAACGTCTGTGTGTGGAAGTGTACGGAAGTTTGAGTTATTTTCCTTTATCCTGCGGTTCCGGTCGGGGACTGCAGATTTGTACATTCATCTCACACTATTGTCATATAAGTGGTTTAAATTATCAAATTAATTAGTTGCACTGTGATTTATTAAAGAAGGTATTCATTTATTTATTTGCCTCAATTCACCCGTGTTTGGACAGCATAACTAATTATCTATCAACATGTTCATGAATGCCAATGAACACATTACAGGACTAAACTGAAAGTTTTTCCAAAATTACTCGTGAATACACCCATTGCATAGGACAAAAATGGCATATCCCTTGAGACAGGTGATAAATAGAGAATGTATTCCACTACAATAGCCCGATTACGTCCCGGCAAGAGTAAACTTTTAAGACATATCATTGGTCTGGTACAACTTTTATTTAATCCATGTAACGTAGCTGTACGTAATTTTTATTATTCGAACAGTGACATAGTTGCGCGTTTGGTGATAACAGCGAAAACATACACTTAAAATCATAGTTCAGAAAATGCTAGCTAGAAAATGTAAACATAGAACTGGAAGGATACAGATTGAGTGAAGTTATACTTATTTATAGAACACAGAGGACAGCGAATATAAAAAACCGGTTACTTAAAAATTATCCCAGCTTTTAAAAATGTATTGAAAGACAATATTGTTTCGCTATTTCTCCACGCGTCGAGTCCAGTTGCATGAATGGACAATATTTAAATACGGCCTGTTCCTGCAGTTCTTATGTGTAAATATATCCCATGCAAGAAGCATTATGTATTTGCACAACATAAACTCATGGCAAATAGAACAACAGATGCTTGAAATATATACTTAAATCTATACACTCCTCTGACATTGACATCGGAGAGATATTAAAACGAGGGAGCCTTGGGAAAAGGAGAAATTGAAAGAAATTGTGGTACAATCCTTTCTGAATTTACAGAAATGTACAAGCTTTGTAAATATCATCTTTTCAAAATTTGTAAATTTTTGTAAATAATCTATTTAGTTCTTGTGTTGTATCTTGAGTATACATTGATCCATGTCTCTTTAACTTCTTGCAGATCACTGATGGGTCCGGGGGGGATATTCAGACGTTTCCTTCTGACAATAGTGACGTCATCATTTTGTCTGTTCACATTATACGGACTGTTTTTCTGGGATATTCTTCCGTCGAGGCAGGTGAAAGTGATAGATAACAGCATCAATTGCAGCAAGATATTCGAAGGTGACAAAGACGCAATAGCAAGAGGGAAACGTGTAACGCAAAATAATGACATCAAGCAATATTATCCACTTCTCAACACAAACTGCACAGAATTCCTGTCCAAGAGATTGTATATACAAGAGGTTTCAAAGGCCGAGGAGGAATTCCCCATAGCATTTACAGTTCTTTTGTATAAAAGCTTCGAACAGTTTGAACGCCTACTACGCTCGATCTACCGTCCACACAACGTGTATTGTATTCACGTTGACGCCAAGTCGTCGTCGGAGGTCCGAAACTCAGTGACCTCACTTACAACGTGTCTTCCCAACGTCTTCCTGTCGTCCCGGTCGGTGGTGGTAAAGTGGGGAAGTTTCACCGTGCTGGAACCAGAACTGGTGTGTATGCAGGATCTGCTAAAACACAAGTGGCGTTATCTGATTAATCTCACAGGACAGGAGTTTCCCCTCAAGACCAACATGGAGCTCGTCCAGATTCTCAAAGCGTACGATGGCGCCAATGACATTGAAGGAACCGTAGAAAGGTGAGGAAATGTTTACATGTTCCACTGTTGGGTACAGTACCTCTTCTTGTACTCATTTATACAATTCCAATAAACTACATCTATACCGAACACGCTTTTAACGAACTGACGGATATATCGAACTGATTTGTTTCTGTCCCTGAATCCGTGGTGTATATTTTGTCGAAATGCGCCGTTGAGCATCTGTGATGGAAACTAGGCGCTATACAAGCCAATTATTATTATTATTATTAAATGCCAGCTAAAATTACTAGTTCCTTTCAGTTCGTTATAATCAGAATTAACTGTAGTTCTTTATGTCTATGGGGGCGGTTGGTAGCTTAGTGGTTCAGGCGTTCGCTCGTCACGCCGAAGGCCCGGGTTCTATTCCCCACATGGGCACAATGTGTGAAGCCTATTCCTGGTGTCCCCCGCCTTGATGTTGCTGGAATATTACTAAAAGCAGCGTAAAACCACTCACTCACTTACCCATTCTTTACGTCCATGGAAATACTTTCGTCGCTTTATGTACGTAGCCGACCCTGTATGGCGGGCTTGCAGAAACCTTGTCCAGGTTGGATAACTTTTGATGAACACGCTTTTTTCAGGATGGGAATCGGATCCGGTTCTTCATTATATAGGGGATGAATGTGGATACCTGTTTCTATCACTGCTGTATCGCGTGATGATCATAACACACTGAAATAAGTATCTCAACATCCATAATTTAACCCCCCATATTGCCATTTATATTTATATCATTATGGTGTTTGATCGATTAACTGGACCCTACGGATGCACCATGCAATGATTTAAGATATGCACGTGCTAGGATGAAGGTGGACTACACGTGTAATACGTGTTACATGTCAAGATTTAGTAAACTGTTCTCAAAGCTCGAGATCCTGGAAAACCAATTGGTTTCGTTGTTGATATACAAATCAGTTCTCCTCAGTTGAGCACTGCTCAAAGGTGACATGTAAGTGAGGGCTATTGCAAGAGATGTTGGTTGTCCTCCATCGACGTTCAGCCGACTGGCCAGAAAACATCAGCAAACTACTATTGACGTTGAGCATCGCAAACGTTCAGGTTATTCACGGGAGGATATAGTCCTTCTCAGAATCACAAGACTTTATCCGTTCATGTCAAGTGGCATGTTAAAAAACAGAGTGGCTGCCACATGGCTGTTTGCCCAACAGAACGGTCCGAGATCGCCTTACATCGACCGGATATGGAACCTATCGTTTACCCAGACCCAACGGCCATTGCTATACATTGAGCACACAGCAGCAAGACAAGTCAGGCTCGACGTCACTGGAATTTTAACGTCATGGGAAGGATCCACTTGTCAGTTTGTTTTGTTTTTGACTGATGGCCGAACTTGTAATCGTCGTGGCAGAAATACTACATGTGCACAACGCAATATCCAGGAGCAAGTACCGTTTGGCGGGGGGTTCATTGATGGTGCGTGGGTGCCTCTCATGTGAGTCTAACTTTGACCTTGTGACGGTCAGACAAAATCTGAATGGCCAACGGTACATCGCTGACATCTCAGACAGGGTTGTTGTACCACATTCCGATTACCATCCTCTGAACACAAGGCCAGTCTTCATGGATGACAATGCTAGGCCACATCGTGACTTCTTTCGTCAGGAGGCGGTAACAGTTCTACCTTGGCCTTCCAGGAGACTAGATCTCAATCCCACAGAGCAGGTTTGGGACATTATGGAGCGCACAAAAACGCAAGAGATCCTCCAGTACGAAGTCATGAGGTATTGGAACAAATACTCCATCAAGAATGGACCGCAATGCCTCAACGCCAAATTCAACATCTGAGACAGTCATTGAAGAGGAGGGATGTTGTTGCCGTTGGCAGAGAGTACAGCAAATCTTGACATTGTGCTCGATTATTGATATCTATGTGATTTCTTTATTTGATTTCTGCTTGCATGCCAGAATCCTAAAAATGTCCGCACTTGACCTAACGTCATTGTGCATAGTTATCAGCACTGAAATAATAGTAAAATCTTTTGTCATACTTGTTCCTCTGAATCAACTTTCTTGGCGTTGGGGGCGATTTGGGTTAGTGGTTATCCTAGTGGTTAGCCGAGTGGTTAAAGCGTTCGCTCGTTACACTCAAGATTTCGATTCCCCTCATTGATACAACATTGAGACTATTTCAGGTGTTCTCTGCCGTGTTACTGCTGAACTGTTGGAATATAGCGGAATCAAAACAACACTCACCCTCTTTCCCCATTAATATGTTGCTGTTCATCAAAAGACTCTCAGTAACATGACAAAATAGGACACAGTTTATTGGATAAATAGAACCTACAGAAGAATATTTAAAATTGCGAAACGAAAATTCAGGTTCGTTGCTATATTAGAAGCAATCAGAACGAAGCTATCATGGCAAGTAGAAATGAAACAACGTGTGACGTCTTGTCTTACTGTCCTGATATAGATGTTTACTATGTTATGCTTTGCGTAATCATTTGCTCTTATCAACAGAGTACCGGATCGAAATTCTCGATGGGGCACCGCTGGAGTTCCTCCCCACAACATCCGTCCAGTAAAGGGCGCCGTCCACGTGGTCGTTAACCGTCAGTATGTGGAGTACATTGTTTACGACCCAGTAGCTAATGATCTGCTCATGTGGTTGAAACGAACCAAATTTCCGGATGAGACGTTCTTTGCAACATTAAATCATAATCCGCACCTCAAAATACCAGGAACCTATCAAGGTACGTTTCCCACACGGCAAATGTGTCACCGTTTCAACACCCACATTTTTATCCAGACTAAATATATTTTGCCGAACGATTATATTTGTTCAGCTTGAAAATGAAATATTACCATCAAACATTGTTTTATATCCCAGGCGTAGGAAGAAAATGAATAATGTTCCACTATAATGATATAGATCCTAAACATTCGTAGAAACTATGTAAGAAACATGCAACATAATTTATGCTCTCGCTGAATGTCAAGAACATCAAAAGCATCATAATGGTCACGGTAAAGAGAAAAAAAAATGGTATTGTGTAAGCATAGCTTTCGTCCGTGGGAGCCGGGCCAGTTTACACCTGTCAGAGGAGTACACAAAGTCCGCAGTCTAGACTACCAGTTGTCCGACTTCCATTCTTTTGGAAGTCGCGGTGACTGAGCGGGTTAGGCGGCTGACTTTGTGTGCTGGCGATTAGGTGCGTGACTCTGAGGGTGTGGGTTCGAATCCCGCATGAGACTCAACCTAAAAAAGTACTAGAAGTTGTACTTTAATAGGAAAGTGTAATCACAAATATAACATATGTTATATAAAGAGACTTGTATGTTTATAATTTGGAACTCAGCCGTGTCATGATAACCTCTCCTCATATTTCCAGTCCTCGTTCTCACGCAATCTCATCCAGTCCTCGTACTCGTTCTTGGTACCTCTACTGGACCTTCTTCTAAAGACCTCCCATCCTACCCTTTAACTTGATATTGTTTTCTATCCTTCTAATCTGGACCTCCTTCTGAAAATTTGCATTCTACCTTTAACTCGACCTTGCTTAGTCTCCTACTAACCTGTCACGGCATGGATGAAATATTGCCGATGTAACTTAAAACTCTTAACTCACTCACTGACTCCTACTAACCTGGACCTCCTTCTGAAGATCTCGCATCCTTTAACTCGACCTGGCTTCTCTCCTCCTTATTTGTACCTCGCTTCTTACCCTTTAACTAGACCATCCTACCTGGTACCCGTTCTTCGTAATAGTCCTTGTACCAGTTCTTAGGACCTCTCCTGCCCTGCTACTCGTTACTGGCATAAAAGGCCTCATTCTTGGGACCCCTACTCTTACTCTGATTCTTTGTTCTAAGGGCTCCTTGTTCTAAGGGCCCCCTTGTTATATCCTGGTCCTTGTTCTTAGGGCCTGTCCTCTGTCCCAGATCCTCATATCTAATCCCACCTAGTTTGTATCCATGAGATCTCTAATCTTAACCTGGTCCTTTATTCTTTGGACCGCCCTGGTTCATCTTAGAAACTGCTGATTCAGGGTTTTCCCATTTTGTCTTATCCCCAGTTCTAACACTGACCATTCTCAATCCTTCCATGTTATATACCTTGTACATTGTGTCATCTCCTTTGTCAGGTGAGCCGGAAACAGATCCAGTCAATAAACCCTTCTTGGCCCGATACAAGGTGTGGCAGGGAGGGAAGTTATTTGGTGGAGATTGCCAGGGTAAATATGTCCGACATATTTGTATCTTCGGGGTGGGAGATCTGGCCAAGTTCCCAGAGAGGAAAGAATTGTTTGCCAACAAGTTTCATCTGGACTTCCAGCCAGCGGCCCTCCAGTGCATGGATGAGTGGTACTTGAGCCGGACTCTACGTGAGCGTAGAGGAGAATCTACGTTTGATGACTCGTATTACAAAACACTAGGGTTCGTTAAAAACAAGATCCCACTCACGTAACACTGGCTAGACTCCCGGTGTCACTACAGCCTTTTACATTCCAACATGGTGCTGATTGGGGTACTTCATATGTATCTCGTGGTCATTGCTTTTGAATTTGAATGGATATCCGTGAATCTGACCAACGTAATTCCAGTATCACGGAGCAAATATGTGTTGATGAGGTTTTAATGAAATTTTACTGTTGCGATGTCGAAATGGAGACGTTTAGAACGGCGTCATATTAATGTAAGAAGACGACCCAACTTGACGAAGGTGTAAGACTCTTTGTAGTTATGTGAACCATGAGTGTAAGGTGGTTGCAAACCAAGGCTTAAGTTTATGTTGCACCTGGGACTCGAACTGGAACAAGGCATGATGAAGGGACGAAACTCTGCACCACAGATTGCAATCCTTCGTCTCCACTGTACCTCCGATAGACAGCTCCGGATGTCTAACAACTATCTGTTCCTATTCAACAGGCTTCCTCTTAAACATGACAGAATTAATATGTATAGTATAATATTACTTCATAATTTGTATATGTTGGGTATAACAAGTCTTTGAATTTGAAAAACTCCAGCCCGAAACTGTAGGTAAGCGTGGAATTTCAGGATAGGATGTGTTTTACTCAGTAAAACAGGGTGAGTCATGGTATTGTTGTCCAGAATGGGTGCCATTCTAACTGTATTTTAGCATCAATAGTATTTCACGATTTTGTTGGTTTCAAATATTTGGATACCCATCGCGGTAGAGGTATAGTTTATGATTGAACATGTTTCAAACAGTGAACTACCATCATTCATCATTACTTTGTTTCCGAATTGGGTCTACCTGAAGAGTAGAATTGCATCAATCATAGTATTCAGGAGTTGGGCGTCCTTCAAACAGCGGCATAATTTCAAATAATGTGTTTCTGTGGCTGGGGCGAGTAGGGATCACTCTAATCCTCTTTTAATGGTAACTTTTGGGGACTGTCAACTGAGCAATCAGAATTGGGCCTTTTCAGTGAGTGAGTAGGTTATTCACAAGGACGTTGTCGGTCAAGTACATACTTTCGTGTCTTCCGTGTGTGTGGTGTGTGTGTGTGCGTGCGTGCGTGCGTGTGTGTTTTTATAGAATTTATGAACTGACTCTTTCCAGGAACATCCAGCTTTTTCCAAGCTCAAGGTGTTGCTTAGAGTAAAAGGTCACTCATTGTCATCTTATCCAGAAACTGAAGATGTTATCTCTTTGGAATAAATTATCTTGTTTGTCAAATGATTTCTCAGTGTTGTTTGTAAATAGCTCACACAGCACGACGCAAATTTACAATGATTCAGCCACACTGACGGCGACCTTTGCATCATGTGGTGTAATGCAGCGACAACAGCATGAGGTTACACCGCAAACACGTGGTAATTATGTACTGTGTTTCCTGGTATGGTATAAGTGGATCCATATGGAGAGTTACATGTCAGGCTGACCTATTGAACAATACTCTATATGACACACACACCGAAGAACAGACGCGACCTCTGCTCAAGTTTACTTGTCTTATTTACTTGTCTAATCCGCCTTCTGAAAGGGATTTGAGGTGTGGACAAGAATACAAGGTGAATTTTGTTCCGGCCTCAAGAGTGAGTTATGTTTTATGCCGCCTCGAGCAATATTACAACAATATCACGACAGGGGGCACCAGAAATGGGTTTCACCCATTGTAATCATGTGGGGAATCGAACCCGGGTCTTTGGGTGACGAGTGAATGCTTCAACCGCCACCCACCCCGAACTATCTTTCGGTTTATAGGGCACATCGCTGACAGAGAATACAAAGTCAAGAAGTCAAGGCCTGTAAGGACAGAAACAAACTTCACAACTGGAAAATGATACCTGGAAGATTCACTCAAGAGGGATAACTCTTTACACCACCAATCGCAAGACGACCATGTGGTCTCAAAGTTCTTTAGAGCTGATCCACGAAGCTATAACCACCTGGAACGGTTGAGAAATTATCCTGACGCAAATGAAGTCACATTCACACCATACTGACCACCGAATAGTATACGCCTTGTCATTGTCATAGGTTTAGGGTGACACTATATGTAGAAGCGTTTGTAAAATGTCTCATTCTGCTCGACGAGTTCATACCATATCACAAATCATGTCTCTTGTTACTACCAATACGTGGACAGCGTGCATCAGCATATCCTCAGTAAAATGGGATTCTTTCCTTTTGTCTGAGGGAATATGTATCTCTGAGCAAAAGTCTTTACCAGTTTGTGGTTTTCATTGTTGATAGACTCGATAGGATGATGGGCAAAGAAGACATGTTTGTCAGATACTACACATTCCTTATATGTTCCTTTACACTTGTATTTACACTTCACTTTACATACTCCTTTACACTTGTATTTACACTTCCCTTTACATATTCCTTTACACTTCCCTTTACGTACTCCTTTACACTTGTATTTACACTCCCCTTTACATGCTCCTTTACACTTGTATATACACTTCCCATGACATACTCCTTTACACATGTATTTACACTTCCCTTTACATACTCCTTTACACTTGTATTTACACTTCTCTTTACATACTCCTTTACACTTGTATTTACACTTCCCCTTTCGTATTCCTTTACACTTGTATATACACTATCCTTACATATTCCTTTACACTTGTATTTACACTTCCCTTTACATGCTCCTTTACACTTGTATATACACTTCCCATGACATACTTCTTTACACATGTATTTACACTTCCCTTTACATACTCCTTTACACTTGTATTTACACTTCTCCTTACATACTCCTTTACACTTGTATTTACACTTCCCCTTTCGTACTCTTTTACACTTGTATATACACTTCTCCTTACATATTCCTTTACACTTGTATTTACACTTCCCTTTACGTACTCCTTTACACTTGTATTTACACTTCTCTTTACATACTCCTTTACAGTTGTATATACACTTCCCTTTACGTACTCCTTTACACTTGTATTTACACTTCCCTTTACATAATCCTTTGTACTTGTATTTACACTTCCCTTTACATATTCCTTTACACTTGTATATACACTTCCCTTTACATATTTCTTTACACTTGTATATACACTTCTCCTTACATATTCCTTTACACTTGTATTTACACTTCCCTTTACATACTCCTTTACACTTGTATTTACACTTCTCTTGACATATTCCTTTACACTTGTATTTACACTTCCCTTTACATATTCCTTTACACTTGTATTTACACTTCTCTTTACATATTCCTTTACACTTGTATTTACACTTCTCTTTACATATTCCTTTACACTTGTATTTACACTTCCCTTTACATATTCCTTAACACTTGTATTTACACTTCCCTTTACATATTCCTTTACACTTGTATTTACACTTCTCCTTACATATTCCTTTACACTTGTATTTACACTTCCCTTTATATATTAATTACATATTCCTTTACACTTGCATTTACATTTCCCTTTACATACTCCTTTACACTTGTATAAACACCTCCCTTTACCTACTCCTTTGCACTTGTATAAACACTTCCCTTTACATACTCCTTTACACTTGCATTTACACTTCTCTTCACATATTCCTGTACACTTGTATATCCATCTTCCCTTACATATTCCTTTACACTTGTAGTTACACTTCCCTTTATATCTTAATTACATATTCCTTTACACTTCATTTACATTTCCCTTTACATACTCCTTTACACTTGCATTTACACTTCTCTTCACATATTCCTGTACACTTGTATATCCATCTTCCCTTACATATTCCTTTACACTTGTATTTACACCTTCCTTTACATATTCCTTTACACTTGCCTTTACACTTCTCCTTACATATTCCTTTACACTTGTATTTACTCTTCTGCTTACATATATTCCTTTACACTTGTATTTACCCCTTTGCTTACATATATTCCTTTACACTTGTATATACACTTCTCTTTACTCACCACTTAACCTTTCCCATTACACCTTTCTCATGTTGCCAAGTTAAGAATATTTTATTGATTTCTGACGATAGACCGATCCAGTCTGTCGATCAAAACTGGGGCATGCGTCAATTTTGGGTAATCAGTTTATAGATTTCATAAATAGGTTTGATGTCATATGTTTGCAAGAAACTAAAACTGACAACTTTGATGATATATGCATAGAAGGCTATAGTTTGTTTCTAAAACATAAACAATCTGGACTTAGACGTTCCGGTGGCCTGGGTCTAGCGATAATGAATAAGTACTCCTCATACGTTTCACCTATTGAAGAGTATCATATTGAGTATGCCATCTGGTTTAGAATATCTGGAGAACTCCTTAATGTCAGCCAAGATATGATAATCGGTGTTGTATACCTACCGCCGGGTCAAGGTATGCTTCTGCAGATATGTTTGTGGAGTGAGAAAGATCGCTCCTGTACATGTTATCAGAGACAGAACTGGTGTCGGTTGTAGGAGACTGTAATGCCAGGACAGGGTCCCTGATTGATTACTCTAAACTGGATGTAAACATCCTCAATGCATTAGACTTGAATCTTGACGACATGACGCGTGAATATGATCCCGAAACTAATCTAACCGATCTAAATATCCCCGTGTACGTACAACAAAAGATAAGCGACTAAATAATTATGGTAAATTCCTAATAGAACTTTGTCAGTATTTCAATTTTTTCATCTGTAATGGTCGACTCGGAGATGAGGCGTCGGCCGGAGATTACACTTGCAGAGACCAAAGTACAATTGACTATCTTCTCGCGTCCCCGAAATGTTTACAGCTGTTACAAAATATGAAGGTCGAACTTTTCTCTTCGCTTTACTCCGACGTTCATAGTTCACTTTTATTTTCATTTGCAAGCAATACCAAACGACAAAATAAAACTGCACAGGAACCTGACATGCCCCCGAATAAAAAGCCACGCCGTTATGATCGAGTTAAAGCCAAAGAGTATTGTACACATATTGATGCAGACCTGATGGGAGAACTTATGATACTCATATCAGAAGCGTTATCCGGGAGAGCAAATCCTGCTGATGTCATAACCGAAACAGCAACAAGACTGACTAGTACTCTCGTTGAAGCCGCGCGTGTAACATTTGGAGTAAAGTCCGTGAAACGTGGCTTATCAAAACAGGTATTAGCTAATAAA